AGATGCTGATTTCATTTTCCAGCAGGATTTGGCACCTGCCCACACTGCCAAAAGCACCAAAAGTTGGTTAAATGACCATGGTGTTGGTGTGCTTGACTGGCCAGCAAACTCACCAGACCTGAACCCCATAGAGAATCTATCTGGTATTGTCAAGAGGAAAATGAGAAACAAGAGACCAAAAAATGCAGATGAGCTGAAGGCCACTGTCAAAGAAACCTGGACTTCCATACCACCTCAGCAGTGCCACAAACTGATCACCTCCATGCCACGCGAATTGAGGCAGTAATTAAAGCAAAAGGAGCCCCTACCAAGTATTGAGTACATGTACAGTAAATGAACATACTTTCCAGAAGTCCAACAAGTCACAAAAAATGTTTTTTTTATTGGTCTTATGAAGTATTCTAATTTGTTGAGATAGTGAATTGGTGGGTTTTTGTTAAATGTGAGCCACAATCATCACGATTAAAGTAACAAAAGACTTAAACTACTTCAGTCTGTGTGCATTGGATTTATTTAATACACGACTTTCACAATTTGAGTTGAATTACTGAAATAAATGAACTTTTCCACGACATTCTAATTTATTGAGATGCACCTGTATATATATATAGCACTTAGCATATTTATATTAGTGTACTTTGTATATTTAAATTAAACTACACTTGCAGATAATATATTAATTAAAAATACAAAAATATAATAAACATTTTTGCAATGTTGTCACAATTAAAAGTTAGATTTACATTGTTATTTTGTTGTGTTTTAAAGAAGTAGACTTATTTTGATGTGCTGACTAACATATTAAAACACATGCAATATATATATATATATATATATATATATTTTAATGTAATGTATTTTATATTTATTTGCACTTAGTTAATATACAGTATTTAAAATACTAACTTTAAATACTAAATTGCAACTTGTACATTCATCAGTACATCAGTTTAACCATATATCAAAAGCAATAAGTAATATTATTTATGAAATTACTTAAGATAGGTCTGTAAGCAGACAAAAGCACTTAATGCCAGCTAATCAAATTTAATTGAATTTAATTAACTGCAATACATTTTCATTTAATAGCAATTAAAATGCAATTAAGTGTCCAGAAACATTACATTCAATTCACACTCAAGCATTTTATTTGGCATATTATTTCCATAATAAGCATTCTCTGCTAAAGTATGCTAAAGTGTACTTCTTTTTCACAAGGCTCATCATCCTTGAAACTTTTAACAACATATCCCATTGATGTATCCTTTTCTGTACCTCAAAAATGCATGGTTAATCACTGGCTGTCACATTCAGGTGCAGATTTGCTTGGTTGATTACTATTATTTAAATAATATATACATATATGTATTTTTCAATAATCAAAATTATAAAACTGAAATATTGAAAACTGATAAAATTGTGTGTGTGTATGTGTGTGCATGTTTTTTTCTATGCTGGTGGGGAATTAAACCTGAATACACACTGACTCATAGGGACTCTTGTCACTGTGGGGACCTAAATTGAGGTCCCCATGGGGAAACAAGCTTATAAATCATACAGAATGACGTTGTTTTTTTTGTTTTGTTTTTTTGAGAATGTAAAATGCAGAAAGTTTTCTGTGAGGGGAAGGGTTAGGTGTAGGGTTGGTTTAGGGCCATAGAATATACGGTTTGTACAGTATAAAAACCATTATATCTATGGAGAGTTCCCACAAGGATAGCAAACCAGACGTGTGTGTGTGTGTGTGTGTGTGTGTGCATTTTTGTGACAAATGAGGACATAAATTTGTATAATGACAAAGGTATAACATAGGTATTACAAGGAGAAGGTGACTTCAGGACATTACCCCATGTCCCCACTTTTCAAAACGCTTGTAAATCACACAGAATGGAGTGTATTGAAAATCTGAAATAGCACAAAGTCTCCTGTAAGGGGTGAGATTTAGGGGTAGGGTTGGTGTAGGGCAATGTAATATACGGTCTGTACAGTATAAAAACCATTACGCCTATGGGATGTCCCCACTTTTCACAAAAACAAACCTGTGTGTGTGTGTGTGTGTGTGTGTGCGTGTGTAAAGGTGTTTGGTAAACAAAATCAGAAAGTACCACTATAACACCAGACTATACCCAGGCTGTCACTGGTGCTTAAATACATAAATAAACAGGTGCATGAAGCCCCTGCTATAAGTCTATACCTGATTCATATTAGAGTATATGCTGACACCGTAAGAACAGCTTGGCATATGTTGAGAATGCAGTAATGACGAAAACAGCTTGGTTGTGAAAAAGTAATACTGTAAATAGCTTGCTTCCCTGAGGACATTTCAGCCAACAGCAGCTGTGGGGCTATCAGAAAGAAAGAGGGAAGAGCAGTGTCAGATAAAGGGAAATCTATTCATAACTGAACATCTCACTTACTGTAGCGCCGAGATTTACTGGACCAAAGGTAAGTTGTTACATATAAATGAAAATGGTCAAATAAATGTCAAATAAATACTGTACAAGGTCCCAATAAAAATGATGTACATCTTGAAAGCTCTAAGAGGAATTACAGTCAGTGCTATGCTAGGTAAAGTTGTTCTAATTGATTGCAAGGGTGTTGCTAGGCAGTTGTGAAGCAGTTATTAAGGTGTTTTGATTGATCATTGTGTAGAAACAACTTTAACTCAGAAATTGTCAGGAAAATTTCACAAATAATTACAAAGAATCAGCAAGTACTCATCCAGCTAACAGGGAACATTCTCAAAACTTAACTCATAACTCAAATTTATGAAACAAACGTTCTTCCATGTTAATAGAAACGTTTTTCATAGTTATTGGTTACACTTTACCTCAGTAGTCCACCATTCTACTCACTCTAAGTATCTTTGCAACTAAATGTTTTTAAATGTTACCAGTTTCAGAACATCCCGATAAAGAAGTAATATTCATAAGTAACATTCCAATAATGTTTGCAGAATTATAAAATGGAAAGTTCTCGAAATGTTTGCACTACCAAAAAAATAAATAAATAATAAAACGAAATATATATAAGAAGAATTCAGTGAATAAGGCACATACTCTGTGATACATACTATACGATTTCAGCCACTTACAGTCTGGCATGTTTTAATGGAAGCCTATTCTTTAAAAAAAAATCCTGAGTTCAGAGAGTTTGAAGGGGAAAAAAAATCTGACAAGTTTGTGCAATAACAATATGTTGGTTGGGTCAAGAACACAATGAAGCATCATTAATATATAATATATACGACTTCATATATAGCCATTCTCAGTCTAGAATATATGGAAGCACACAGGTGGGCTTGTTGAGCTGAGCTGTGACTAACTCACCGCACTTCTCCAGGGTCCTCTGTAACCAACACGTCCGTCTTACAGCTGGCTATAGGGTTGATTGACAGCTCCACCGGAGGAACCACAAAGCTCTTGCTGACTGGCAGCCAAAGGCCTTGACCCAGACTGTAGGATGACCTGCAGGGTGAGGGACACGAGAGTGTAACGTGTCAGCTGAATTTCAATGACCCTGTGGAACATGCTGCCTATTACAAGAACGCGCCGCTGACCGAGAGAGGAGAAGATCTGTTCTCCACAGCATGCACAAATAAAGACCATCAAACTAGACAGTAGTTGTGTGCTAATGACATATCCAAAGGTCTTTAATAAAATAAAAAAAGACATTGAAAATACACACCACAAGTCTGTAGAAACGATCCAATAAAGAAAACGTCAAAGGGTTTGTATAATGGAAAATAGGATTTGTCACATTCTTCAAAATTAAAGACTTCAGTGTAGGCATACTCTTCATTTCAGAAACTGTCGGCAAATCCATGACCTGTAAAATATCATTGCGACTCATTTGGCATGCGAAGAGTTTTAGCCAATCATACTACAAATCTTTTACATACAGACGTCTTAAAGACACAGTAAGGGTCAAAGAGCGGGTGGCAGTGTTATTCTTGTTTTGATTTTGTTAATTAAAATAAAGCTGAAATTAAATAAAACTTTATTATTATTACTATTATTATTATTATTATTATTATCATTATCATACTAATAATAATAATGATAATAATAATAATGATAATAATAATAATAATAAAAACACTACTACTACTACTACTAATAATAATAATCATAATAATAATAATTATTATTATTATTATTATTAATATTATTATATTTTTATTTTAAATACATAGAACAAATAAAATTACTAAAACTAAAGCTGAAAAAAACTATAAATATATATATATATATATATATATATATTATATAACTAATATAAACAAAATTAATAAGACAGAAACTATTATTTGAAACGAAATAATAATACTACTACTACTACTACTACTAATACTACTACTACTACTAATAATAATAACTCTTTATTTGTAATGCAGATTAATGGATATGATTGCATTGTCTAGAAACTTCATTTCAATGAATCTAAAAAGTTTTTCTCATTATTTACTCATCCCAATAAAGTTAATAAACAAACAAACAAACAGTGTAGGAAGAGACTGCAGACTACCATGATGTTTTGTCTATTACTGAAGATTTAAAAAAATCTTGCTTAAAAACATCACATATGTGACATGCACAGTATATTAACTATGACTGACTAACTCATTATTTGTTTATTAGCACCATCATTATTTTGTTAAGGTAACTGAAGGGCTGAAATAATTAAGCTAATATAATATTAATTTAGCCAGTGAATTCATATTATGTGAATTAAATTTGTATGATAACATGCGGATCCACCGCACTAAAGCACAGGTCTGAGTCTGGCCGGTCGCTGACCTTGGATATAGACAAGCACATCTGAATTACTCTGGATCAATGCGAACTTCCACTCATAAATAAGACAGCGATAGCCCAGGCCTTGCTCCGGCCCATCAATCGACACTTCGGAGGGCACTGATTGCTTTCCTCAGTCCACTATCAGTCAACTGCTGCCAGCTGAACTAAATGGCTTGAGTCGTCAGGTGGTTAAGAGTGATGACAGCTTGGGTGAGTAAGAAGAGAGTGAATGGATGATATAAATTTCATTTATTTTTACGCCTTAGCATTTAGAACCAAAGGAAAAAAAAAATCTGCTTCAGGCTTGTAGTCTGAAAATAATGGAATATATCTTTGTGTTTAATTAACGAGAGACAGTTTAATAGTGAGAATCAAAGTGAGATATTGTCATCACATCTGCTAATTGTCCAGTGTAAAACACTATTTGTTTTAGTTAAAATGGCTGAAACTATATGGGTGTCACGGGTTGCTACTGTGAGGAGCACGGAGCGAGAAACGAAGAGACCAGGAGTACAAAACAAAGGAGTTTAATTGTCTTTTTCAGGGAATAGCACAAGGAGTTGACATAAACAATTCCAAACAAAGAGACTCAGAACAGGCTAGAACTAAATAGGGCAGATAACGAGGGGCAGACAGGTGAGGAGGATGACTAATAATGAGACACCTGAGACAAATCAAACTACATTGGGACAGGAACAGGAAAAACCAAATAAGGAAAACAGGAACTCAACGGGAACATACAGGTGACAATGGGTAGGCTGCATGACAAAATCCCAAAATATTTCATGGTATGATTAATTTTATTTCACAGTAACGGTATGTATCACAAGATGCAAAAAAAAAAAAAAAAAAAAAAATATATATATATAATTAATGACTTTTGGATAATCATAATTGCTCAGCAAACATAAATAACTAAATTTTGCATTAACACACAAGTTCTTTCTCATCTTGACATGTTTCACTTTTATGTGTATAAAACTTAAAGCAGAAAAAATGGAATATATGCCTGCCTGCCTGCCTTACATACAAACATTTTACTGCAGTTTCCAGCTGAAATGAACACTAGAGGCAGTAAAACGCCAACAACTTTTGCTTCTGTGTTATGCTATACTACGGTATAAGTTCAAAACACTTATCATAAAGGATGATTTTTAAATGAATACAGTTTGATGTTTGCATCACATAACCAGGTTCCCTTTCAGTCGGTCACTCTCGACGTCACGTCGGAGGACAGGATGTCGATTGCAGTATCGGAGCTTTCTGGAGAGGAAGATTCTGCTGCGCTCGTCTCCTACGGGACCGTAGCAATGCCTGGATCGGATCCAGAAATAATGGCTATGCTTTCCTGGGCTGCCGTAGGGGTAAGGCTCAAGTGAAGACTTTCACAGTGTCCCGAGCCCTCAAGGTTGCATGATTGGTTCTCGGGGTGGTCCGCGCTGGTTCTCAGCGCCCCGCCTCGGTGCCTTTCTTCCCGGAGGTGCATGAGGAGCTCAACAGGTCGTGGACGGCACCTTTTTACTGCCGGAAACTGATTTGCTGGATCCTCCTCCCTCGCCACCCTCGATGGTGAGGCAGCTAGGGGGTTACAATGGTCCCCCCCGGTGGAGCGGTCGGTTGCGATGCAGTTGTGTCCTAATACCGCCTCCAACCGGCAAGGAGAACCGTGCCTCCCCTCCCGGGTCTGTAGGTACTCGACTGGCCAGCGATGCCTATACGACCTGTGGAGAAGCTGCCTTACACGCTACGGCGTGATTGCAAGTGCACCAGGCCAAGGCACTGAGGGACTTGCACGAGGGTGGTCACGACCCGGAAGTTTGCAGAGAACTCCGCACCGCGGCGGACCTCACGCCACGAGCGACGAAGGCTACGGCGCGGTCTCTGGGTCGTGTGATGTCTACTATGGTGGTCCGGGAGTGCCATTCTGGCTGTGACTGGTTGACATGTGCGAGACAGACAGGACACGATCCTTGAACGCCCCTGTGTCCCAGGCCGGCCTGTCGGCGACACGGTGGAGAATTTGACCAGCGGTTCTCCACTGACCAAAGCAGACTGAGGCCATCAGGTACGCTACGGCGCGGTCTCTGGGTCGTGTGATGTCTACTATGGTGGTCCGGGAGTGCCATTCTGGCTGTGACTGGTTGACATGTGCGAGACAGACAGGACACGATCCTTGAACGCCCCTGTGTCCCAGGCCGGCCTGTCGGCGACACGGTGGAGAATTTGACCAGCGGTTCTCCACTGACCAAAGCAGACTGAGGCCATCAGGTACATCCTGCCCCGGCGTGCAGCTGCTGCCGTTGCAGAGGGCGGCCCCCTGCCACCGCCAAAACAAGAGCAGCGCTCCTGCGGCCTCCAGCAAAGCTGTGCCGTGGAGCCGGTTGCAGGGCAGCCGCAACGCCCGTCCAGGCCCCCGCAAAAACCTGATGGCAAGCGAGAGAGCAAGAGGCCCGGGGATGGGCGACCCAGAGGTGGAGGGACGTGCTCTTCAGGAGATGGTAAGCACACCACTCCCTCCCCCGGATGAGGGCCGGGCGGAGATTCTTTTCATCTTTTACCACCATTGACCTCGCGGTCGGTGGTACCCAAATTCTCCATTCTCCATTTTGGGTCCCCAGAGGGGACGGGAGGTTGTGGATGACCTAGTGCGTATCATACTCACCCTCCTCTCTCACCAGTGAGCAGCAGTGGGCGGATCGGGAGGATGAACCAACAGACTACCCACGCACCCTCTGCTCGAACGCAGGTCAGTGTTACACACACCAGACCCCGCCTCGGACCGGCTACGAGACGCCCGGGCGGTGGCACCCTATTGGCCATCCCGGACCTGGTTCCCAGAACTAATGCTCCTCGCGACAGCCCGTCCTTGGCCAATTCCTTTTTAGGTTGAGCCGAAGTTCCTTCAATGGAGACTTTGCTCCTGCTAGCA